TGGTTGGTTAGTTTGGTTGGTTAGTTTGGTTGGTTGAAGGTTTGGTGGTTGGTTGGTTAGTTTGGTTGGTTAGTTTGGTTGGTTGAAGGTTTGGTTGGATGGTTGGTTGGTTAGTTTGGTTAATGGATCAGTAGATGTAAGGTGATTTGACCGATGCGGTTGCGTTTCCTTGCATCACTGAAAAAGGCTCAACTGGTTTTTGAGTTCCATTATCAAGGCTGTCATTATTATTTCTGAATGTTTTCAATGTCACTTATTTGTCGACAATTTAATTCTGTCAGTGTGAAGAACACAGAAAATCAAGCAGCTCAAAATCCTCCTCTCTTTTCTATTCGTGCCCTTTTGGCTCCATCTTGGTCTCCACCCCTCCCCCGGCTTCGACAAACAAGCTTCACCTTCAGCCTCACTTAAGAGGGACATTTAAATGTGTTCCGCAGACGTTTTAAAAGTTGTGCTCCTAAATTAATCCTGTGTTTTTCCTTTTATGAAACTAACCTTGTCTTTTAATTCCCATTTCTTTCAATCTAAATTCCTCCAGTTTAGAACGCAGGACTTCTTTTATGAATATTTGGGCTTCAAGGTAAAACACATCGAGATAAAACGTCAGTCTGATTCATTCCGACTTCACAAAGCTCCTTTTAGATCATACAACAATTTTTGAAGGTTGAATAAACTGATCTTTTGTAAAAATGGGAGCTGTGACCCTTATTAGTCACTGAACTAATGTGATGGCTTCTTCACATGTTTGGAGAGATCTGCTGCGGTACCTGAGGTAGAGGACTCGAGCGATCAGGCCGTACAGCACGATGGCGAGGAGCAGAGGGACGACGTAGAAGATGGCGAAGTCTGTGAGGTAGATGGGCAGATAGAGCTCCCGCTTCACCCTGTAGCCGCACTGCACGTGTCCGTCCGGGCCGACCTGAGGATCGCACAGTCAGAGACGCTGTAATAAAAAACAGGCTGGTGGCGCCGCGTTTATTATCTTTCCTCGATATAATTATATCAGAGATGACACAGAGCTCTTCAAAGCTTTTCTCATTCCCCTGCAGTTGAACCGTTTGCGTTAATAACAAATGTTCAATCAGTTCAGGATTCATGACTCATGCACTGAAACACTCTGTGGAGCTGATGTGTTTATTCTTCACCTCATGTGTTCAAACGGCAATTTATTTACGTCAAAGCTTTAATCTCTGTCCTTCACACTCGTCCAATGTATTTTTACACTTGCCCGGAAAATTATCGTGGCCACAGTTTACAATTGTGATTGTTGAGTGTGTAATTGAAGGTTAGTCTGTGGCTCCCAAAGCAGTAAACATAGGTTTTTATCAGAAAACCTGACACTCGGATGAGCGGCGATCATTTCTACTTCTGGCGACACAGCGAGGGGATTGAGCTTCTCGGTACGTTCCTGACGTCAAACGTTACTCACCGGGAAAAAAAAAAGTCACGTGCCTTTTTTAGTGTTTAAAAAAACCCACGTTAACAAGAGATGATGTTAATTACAGTTAATCAGTTGGAGTGTGTTTGTCGAACCTGAATGTCCACCAGGAAGAACCAGAGCATGCAGTAGACACAGGTGAAGATCCAAACCCCAGCTATGATGCGTTTGGCCCGGGACACCGTGCACATGGTCTGAGCCTTCATCGGATGACAGATAGCTATGTACCTGCAGGTGGGGGAGGAGATGGCTTCAACACAAGGTCACACCAGCTATGTGAATACAGAGAATACAGTTTATTGTGGAGCCAGAGTATATCCAGGTCCGGCTGATTCAATTAACCAATCAGGAGTGTCAGCCCGTTTATATCGTCATCAAATAACTAATTAAAACCAACCTGATCCATCTTTACTCACATATTTACACTAAAGCAGTGGCTGTGAGTAATGGTACCTCCATCTTTGGCTGAATGTGACGCAGGGACTTCGTCGTCAGTTATTACTATTTTTGCACGAGGGTTTTTATTTCTGTTCCCTTTTGCCCTAGTTGCAGTGACAGGAGACAAATGAATAGACTCTCTCACTGTGTTTCACTGTATATTTACCTTTTATTTGTGCCGAGATGTTGATCAAGAGACTAAAATCTTTCAATTGATGTATAGAGGGCAGAAGATTTAGTTTTTTTTGTCTCTGGTTGTTTTATGTTTGGGTCCTAAGACACAAATACACGGGTGAAGTCATTAAACACCAGCTGTCCTCAGTGTGGAACATATAAAGTCTCCTGTACCGTGTTAGAATGACATTTAGCAGATTGCAGCGCACCGCAGAGGTTCATCAGTTCAACCAAGCTGCACCACATTGCTCGCATCAGTCCTCAATTCTTCCCTGAGTAAGCGATGAAACGTTTAACTCTCCAGCCCATAAAAGCTGCTGTGAGAGAGATTGCTCTTGTTTGTCCTCACCTCTCCACGGTGAAGGCAGTGATGGAGCACGAGGACGCATTGATGCCCAGGTACTGAAGGTAGGTGATCCCCAGGCAGCCGGCGTGGCCGAAAACCCACGTGCCCGTCAGACTGTCGGCCACGTTGGGCAGCCCCGCCGCCACCAGCACCATTAGATCGGCTATAGCCAGGCTCACCAGGTAACAGTTGGTGGGTGTCCTCATGTGGCGGGTGGTGAGGACCACCAGCACCACCATTATGTTGCCCACAATGCCCACGCCACACACCAGCAGGACCAGGAACACCGACACCGTCTTGTACTCTAACAACTCGGAGACGGCGTTGCTGGGACTCAGAGAGATGTTGGTCGGGGTGTCGATTCTGGAGCTCACGTTGTCGGTCATGTCTGCAAAGTGTTGACGTCGTCGCCCCCCCCCAAAGTGTTTGTAAAGCAAAGGTTACGCTTGTTCGATTAAAGCTGATGATGGTCGTGACTCTGAAATGTCGCCATGTTTCTTCCTCTTCATTTAGAGCATCGACTCTAATTCAAAGTTATGATATTGACTCAGACGTCACACCAAACACGCCTCGGGCCGCCATTCAGTCACCTGGAAGTAGAAGAAGCTTCATTAATTGGACGAATGGGGAAATGAACGGACAATGAGCGTTGGGCTTTCATACGTCGGACACACACGTGAGCACACGCAGCACAGAGACCCTCTCCCTCAGTGTCAGCAGCTCTGGCTGGAATCAGTTGATTAATGCTGCGTGGAAGCAAAAGTACTTGTGCAAACAGATGAAGAGAAGAGGTGGATGAAGCAGAAATGAGAGAACGATGTAAGCTGGTGGTTTCAAATGACACTGAGAAGAAGCTGCCTGTGAGATTAGTCAGCAGATCAGCAGTGATTGGATTTTCTTTTATGGAGTATTTTCAGAATTTAATGTTTCCTGTGTATAAAGACGGTGGCGGCAGAAATGTTTAGTACATGCATGAACCCATGGCGAAACGGTAATTATGAACTTACATACTTAATACAAGTTGCTCTCAACATTACGTTGGACGAACCGACACACGTGAAAACCTGAACTTTCCTGCAGACCTCCAGAAGCTCTGTCCCCGTGTCCGTCCACAGATTTTAGAACCAGGTCTTGTGAAGCTCTGATAAGAGCCACTGTGGATGGGTAGTAATAATAATATAATATTCAAATCAGCCATTTAGATGCTGTTGAGCGTGCAAGTGTAACAAATAACCTCTAATACTGCACTCACGGAGTAAACAAGCTCAGATGAGCACATTAAGATCATCTTAACATAATATTCGAATACGTATAATGTTTGTTTGTGCTCTAATGATGCACTAATGATGCCTCCTTGTGCATTTCTGCTTAAGTTACAGCTAAATTCCTCCAACCCGACACATAAGAACCTCTGTTTAAAGCCGTGACTGCTTTAATAGATTTCGAGGTTATCGGAGGACAAAGTGTTTTTTCATCTGCAGAGTCCAGAGGTTTGTTTTGAGGTTTCACATTCTGCTGGAAGCTAATTAACCAGCGGCCGATGCTGTGAAACTCTACAAGGCATCTGTTGCTCTTTTCACTCGTCTCAGGGCCCCAGCACACACACATTCCGGACTCCCCTCCTGAGGGCTGCCTCTAATAAATTGAGGTGGACATGAAATGAAAAGTAATTTAGTTCCACTGTCCTGTCGTCAGAGTGACTGCATCCACTCTCTGTTCCGTAACACGTCCGCAGCTCGGCACAACTAATCTCCTGCAGGTTTCTGAGGATTTGGTTGTAGTGTAAATTACATACACAATTTTCTTTTTAATATGAAAAGTAACGAATCCATTTCAGATCTTGTCACATTATCTTAACAAATTATAGTCCCAAGAAATGTATTAAGGAATAATTCATAATTTTGGAAAATAACATTCACAATATCCTCTTACCAGCACCTCCAGCTAAATAATTAACACATTATCTCATTTGTTAATTACATAAAAAAGCCCTTAAAACCACAATCTGTTCTTTGTACACTTCCATTACTTACTAACGCTGCTTGCACTCTTTTTTTTTTGTTTGAAAATGCATCAACTCTGCTACAGATGCTGCCGGCGTCCAGAGTTTAGAGTCTAGACTTCTCCAGAGTTTGGAGACGCAGCTGGTCCCATTTCAGTTTGAAGGAAACAAGCAGCATCTGCCTCAGCTGCCAGCACGGAGCACAACATGCTCTCCCTGCAGCTACCAACCAAACAAGTGGTCACATGATGAAATACACATTCAGGCGTGTTAGTATTAAAACAGTCGTGTGGACAGAGAACGTTTTCATTTTTAAAAAATGCTGTTTTCAACAATGTAGTGGTTCGAACGGAGACTGTAAACTGTCGTTTTCCTTTTGAAATAAAAAACTTTGCATATTCTGTAGTTGGTCGCTTAGCGATGGTGAAAAGTAAGAGCATCGTTCACAAAAGTCTTCGCTTCTGTTCGTCCGGGATAAATCACAACCCCCAGAGTTTTGAACCAAAATGGAACCAGCACCGTTTCCAAAAGTCTCTGTTTTAGATGTGGACTGTAGATGTGGTCTCCCGACTGTAAATAAAGATGGAGAACACGATAGCTTTCTAAAGACAAAACATCTGGATCACCCCCTGGTGGTTGGCTGCAGTCAGAAACCTTCCTTCTCCATGTTAGCAAGTGGGACATCGAAGAAACTTAGAAGCCAAAACACACATTTGAACGCATCCATTTTTATATCAGTTCTGTTGTGGAAATAAGCCAGTGGGTCTGAATTGCTCATTTGAATAGAATCATTTCTCTGCGTAAAACGAGGTAATTACTAACTCGCTGTGGAAGGTCACCAACACGAGCCCGCAGCTTCTCAAAGGTCACAAATGTGCGCTCGCTGAGCTACGGAGCCTGAACCCTTTAAACCGCCACCTCGTCTAACGAGCTCTCCGCTGTCCAAGTTTAAGGTGATCATTCAGTCGATGGTCTCATTTCCTCTCGCCTCCTGCCTCAGCTCTCAGGAGAACTGAACATTAAAAATTCAGTCCTTAGCGTTTACAGTGAAGGACGTCGTCGCTCACGGGCTCAGCTGAATTCTGGTCCAGGCTCTGACTCATTAAAGGCAGCGGACTGGGGATTGTGCCTCTGAGCAAAGCACGGCGCCAAACCCACAACGGCTGGTGAATAATGAAACGACAATGAGGTATCAGTGGCCCCTGTGAGATACTGGAGGTATAACACGGACCTCAGCTGACAGATGTATGTGATGAGATAAGATAAGAGGAATGAGCATATTTTAATCAAAAAGAAGAAGACAAAAGAGCAAGCAATAAAACCAAATACAAAATAGACACTAAATTAAATGAAAATAAAAAACTGATTACACGGTGTCAGGAGCTTGAGATGGCTCAGAAAATAAAGGTATTTTGAGGAGAATGGAACAATTGAAATTAATAATAATAAAATGATGAAAAGTGGATAATTTACATAAAACAAGACACTTTACAAGTGACTCAACTGAATAAAAGATAATAATACAAACAATAAAAATGGATTTGTCTGTTTTCTGTTGAATTTGTGACACAGAGGAAATGAGCTGATGTTTAAATATCAAAAAGACAAATCATTTATTTGACTTTAGTTTTTTCTTCCTGTCTGCGTCTCGGAGCTCGGTGAATGGATGATGACTTGATGGTGAGTGTGACTCTGGAGCTTCAGTCACAGTCACACTGATGAGAAACATGATGAACTTCTGATTCATCTCAACTCATTTACTGAGGAAAATTAAAAAAAAATGATTTTACCTGCTGCGTCTTCACATCCTCAGGAATCTTCTGCAAGCCTTCTGTGGTCCTCACAAAATAAGAGTGTGTCTGTGTCTGTGTGTCTGTCTGTGTCTGTGTGTGTCTGTGTGTGTGTGAGTGTGTGTCATGTCAGTTGAAGCCTGCACAGTCACGTTTAAACTGTTGTCTTGATACTACACATCACAGCATCTCGCTCTCTAACTGAGCCTCGTCACTCCTGCACAGACTTAAATGGGAAGCATGCACCTGCCCCTTTCAAAATAAAAGTGTGATACCTAATTTGGGATTACGTCACCATTCAGAATAAAATCTCACTATTGAGTTCTGCTAAATTCCACATGGATCAAATTTACAAAACGCACACACACAAACACAAGTTGAATGAATTCCCATTGACTCATATTTCATGAATTACTTTACATAATGTTTTGGTTTATTCACAGAATTGTCCGTGGATTCTGTTGATTTAAATGTTGTTCGTTATTCAAAACAAAAACTCAGCTCTGATTCCAGATCAGCTCGACTGGTCTTCAACATCACTCACTCGACTCAGCTCCTCCGCTCCCGTCACTGGTTATCACTGAAGAAGAATCGTCAGAAGTTAGCGAGCGTGTTACACAATAGTCGTCTTCGATCATTCATTCAGGGCGGAGCTTTGACGAGGCCGCTGATGGAGGGCGTGGGATGTATCGGTGGCATATTTTTAAAGTGCGGCCTTCTCTTGCCAGTTTTTCCAGGATTACCAACCCTGTCTTTAAAGGCAGATGACCTCTGGTTGCATGTGTGAGCTCCTGTCTGCACACATCTGTATACGCCATCAACACAGTCACGTCTCCGCTCGGTAAAGCGTTAAATCCAGAGCGTCCTCGTTTTATTTTGAAATGTGTGGCAGGAAAATAGTGATAGTCTACGCTCCAGCTTGATGGTTCATCCTCACTGAGCCTCCTGCCTCCAGTGCTCTCTGGTCCCCAGCTCCTGTCAGGGCTCATGTGGTTCAGCCAAGCATGAAGATGAAGCTTAATTTACAGCTGAGATTCTGAGGCATCGAGAGGAACAGGAGACATCCAATGAGTTTGTGTCGTTTCACCTCCACCCACACAGATCAAGATATCATACAGATAAAATAAAGCCTTCACTGAAACCCCCGTAAACTACAGACGACAAACCAGACTGTCTCTAAAAACTCTAAATTAAAACTGTACATCTCTGTATTGATCTGTGTTATTGTCCACTGGCACTGAGCACAGTAAGGGTTGGTACTGTCATATTCTGCTGTTTTGCTGCATTTTCACTCAATGATGTTTCCTCCAACTGTACAAAGATTAAAAAAAATATGAATATAATATACCGTTATTATGATAATCATAATAATAATAATAATATATGAAAATATGAAACATGATAAATGATTAACATTGAAACTCTCACACATCAGTGTCTATCAACCTATTTCATTGTTGCCATCTTGTGGCTGAAATCATGAAGCAAACTGAATAAAAACATTTCAGTAACTGAACCAGTAACTGCCTCAGGACCAGAAAATAAATCAATTCAATCTAATAATTGTTGGTGCTATGTGGAACTTGCTTATCCT